AAAAATAACTAAAAGTCGCGTGTTTATGTATTATTTCATAAAAATTACATTTATAGTAATATTAAAAACATTTGTTTTTAATTTTGCTTTAAGACGTAAAATTTATAATAAAAATGTTTAAAACATTTTTTTCGATGATTTTTCATTCTCTAAGAAACATCACTTTTGTATATCATATAACAAATAAAATAATTCATATATATTATTAATTTGAATATTCTTTTAGTTATTTTTTTTATGAAAATATCGAGACATTTTATCTTAAATATTACGTAAGCAAGTTATTAACAATGACACAAAAGGTGAATGCAATAATTTAGGCACTAGACTTTTAAATCATTAATTTTAATTTTAGCATCGATACGAAGCTGAGTAGGTTAATTTTACTACGATGTGTTTTTATATATCTGTCGCCACTTATTCTCAGCTCTTACTGGACTGATTTCTTTTAACGATACGTCAAAATATCGCAAATAGTATCTAGTTGAAGACAATGCTCTTGAAAATTGAAAAAACGTTCTCTCGTAAATAAGGGAAGTCTCCAAAAAAAATTTTTAAATTGGTAAATTTAGACTTTTTTTTCTTAAAACTGCCATAACTTTTTTTAAATATGAATGAAACAAAATAATTCTTTTAAATATAATTACCTTAAATATTTCACTTTCATTTGCTATAAATTTTTGAAAATTTGACTCTTTATCTGCCTATTGATGAATTTAAAATAGAAACTTTTGCACAAAAATTTTACATTTTTGCTTAAGTTTTTTGAAAACATTTCGAAAATACTCCGAACTCTAATTATATGTTAAATTAAAGCTTATGTTTCATACTATAAGTTAAAGAAAGAATTTTGTACTGACTACTTGTCTTCTATGTGTAAACGGTCCCCAAAGTAAGACAAAAAACAATATTTTGGTGTAATAATTAACGTTGTTATTTTTACTTAAATTAGTCAAAACATTGTATGAATATTGAAAAAAATCATTTCAATAAAAATCTTAGTAATGTTACTACGAAACTCTTAATGTTTATATCAAAATAGATAAATAGATGTTACAATTGAAATATTCATCACTATATTCTTAAAATATACTGATATATTGCGGTCTTAGTTTCACCTATGATTTTGTCCACTGATGTGTTGTTGAATTTCAATTTGACTTAGATTTATTTAGTTATTATTATTTTTTTTACATGTAAATATTCGTTTTTTAACTAATTAATAATATTCTCAAACATTAGTGGCCATAGAAAAAATCTAATTGCAAATTTAAAATCGGTGCGAAAATTGGTTTAGAAATAGTAAATTTTTGTCACTGATCACAATTCCTTGTATATCAGTTTAAACCAAATTATTTTCTGAAAATTTTTGCATCAAGTACTTCAATTTGTATAGACGTTTGCCATATTAATAACAAAACGTACAATTACTATTTAATTTCTCCGTAAAATTTAAAATATAAAATTATTGTACATCAATTTCATACTAAGATCAAATACTACAATTAAAACTAAAATCTCTAAATATTTTTTCACGAATTAAACTTATTAATCATAGAACTACCAATCAGGATACAAATAAAGAAATAAGAGTTGATGTTGTTTTTCTAATAATCGTCCAATTCCTTAAATTACACTATAAATAGATTTGCATCGAAGCGGTTTTCACGATAGTAATTTTAATTCCCAACTTTGCCACACTGTGCTACCATTTTTAAATTTTAAATTCATTCGTTTCCGTAAAAAATGTTCACCGTGATCGTTTGGTTACAGTTAGCTGATGATTCGAGAAATATTACAAGAGTATGAATATTTTGCATCATTCAAGCTGAGGTCAGTAAATTTTATCACAACGACGCAAACGGAAAAATTTTATCTGTGTTTTTTAAGACACGAGACCTATTGTTATTTTGTACACTTCGGTCAAATTGATAACAATACTGTTATAGTTTTTATGTTGAGTGAAATTCATTTGATATCTGAGAATTTTTTTAATAAAAAAAAAAGAAACATTACTAGATATTGACGCGTAATCGCAAATTGATAAAACAAAATAATAGACATTTACTATGAATTCAACATAAGTCAATCAGGTCAATTTTTAATGGTTATTATGAAATATTAGATTACAATATGAAAAAATTAATAATTCTTTTAGAGAATTTAAGATGTAATAATTTGATTATTAGTTACCATAAACAAATAATGTTCGTGTGCATTATCAGTAATTAAACTTTTATATGGATTTACTCTATTACAGTATTATACACTTTATTGCAGATAAACTAAAACGATTAAAATAATTTTTTTCTCTCAATAGTTCGCCTAAACGACACATTCGACCGTAAGCAATAAAATAAACATTTTTAGAATTAATTACAACCATACTACATTATTTTAAAACTGCTCGCTTTTATTTATTGTATACAAAACTGATGGGATGCTGTAAAAATAGTTATCAGATTTATGTCTATATAGCACATTATAAACATGTCAATTGTTCCAATTTTTTTTTTTTTTTTGAAAATCTGAACTAAATGACAAGTCTGTTTTCACAAAAAAATAATAATAATAATAAATACAACTACAGACTAAATTTAAAGAATTTACTGAATTAAATATTTTGAATTTAATAATATCAATCTCATCAAAAACATTACAAATCAATAGTTTTTATTTATCAATATTTATATTTTAATTACTTGATTTAAATGTATAAGTAATTATTAAAAAATAAGCAGTTCCTGTTGATAAATTTATATGAATAATGTCTAAATGTAATTTCAAAATTCAAATGGCTCTTAAAAGAAATAAATTACAGTTAATTTAGATATGAAACGAAAAAAACTATTTGAAAAACGAAAACTTAGTAAAAAAAAAACATGGTCTAAAGTATTAGATATGGTGTTTTTATTGTAGAATATAATAATATTAAAATAGTATAAAAATATGTAGATATTAAGTTGTGCTGGAAATAAAAAACAATTATCATTTAAGTATATTGATTGGATCCTTACATAGCCATAACATACAAAAATTTGAACTTTAGTTTTGTCCCCAAGTATAAAAATAGTGAAAGCTTATATTTGAACCAATGAAAAATAATAAATAACAATAGTTTATTTTTCTTGTATTTTATGTAAATATTATAATAAGCATATGGTTACGTTAGTTAACTGTCAGTTATGTTTCTATAATTCCAATCAGTTTAATTAATAAGCCGTATCACAAAACAATTGAACGTTATCTAGCCGTTTGCTCTCGTTTTTTCATTAAGTTCCTACATTTTATTCTTGGGTGTATAAACATGACTTGGCTGTCTTTTGTCACTCCTGGCAATTGTTTAGTTGAAATGGAATGCAAAAGCATTACAGATGAAATTCTATCTGAATATCAGTCGCATATTCCTTTGGCGAATGCGTCAGCTAAAATACCAAATGGCTGTAATACAAATGGAATGGCCGAAATTAACGGCAATGGGGAAAAGGAAGTTGATGTCAGTTTTGGATAAATGAATTTTAACTATCCGTCGCCATTTCCACGAGTGTCTCCATTTGAAGAAAACTCCGCAGATCCTAAAATTAAAGCACAAAATTAGGATGACCTTGATTTGGAACTTAATGATCAATTCGTCTTTTGAAATAATTAAAATATTTGAAGTTTACTTCTGTAAGGAAACGAACGCTATTCCACGCCATTCTGTATGGAAGAAACTCAGTATTCCGGACTTGTGTTTTCATCAAATGATTGTCATATATTTTTAACAACTCAGGTGCAAGTGTTATTTTGCCACAAGGGCTACCGACGAACACCATTTGGCTTACAAAATTTTTTCATGCAAAATATAGCGACGTCATGGTCTAGTTGTCTCTCGGGTATGAATAAAACTTGTACAGTTCTATACTATACCCAGTCTAATTATAAGAATAATCGCAGAAAATTACATAAAAAAATCCTCCACCATTGCCTAAAAGACAATCTGTTGACACTCAGTTTGGCTGAAAAAATCCCATTAACGCCTAACATACTCAAAAAAAAATGATGAAATTTTAATATTGGGGCAGGATTTAAAACTAAACGAAAACCATGTGAATATCAAGTTTTGCCAAGTGTTTGCCTGGGCTAATATCGTCTCCAAGTAGACCAAAATCACTCATATAGAAGCGTTGTTTCAGCTAATAGAATGTGACTTAGACGGACTTAAACTAGGATATAAATATATGTTTGCTTTAAGAACCGTCGATATACATGATCTATAATATATAGATATATGATATACTGATTATTAAGATTGAACATTTTTTTTATACATTAATTTTTTTCTTAATTCTTTTTTCATCATATTTCTCTTGTAAACAATATGGTGTATGATAATTAGTTGACAAGACTCAACACTTTTGTTATGTTTATTTTAAGTTAGCTCTGAGTTATTTGGTTCAATAATAAAGTATTTGTTCAACTGAAAATGTGTTTTTTAATCATAATGATCAATATAGTAAGCTAACTAATGCATTTAGAATATCATTTCAATTTTTTTACGGATAATTTTAACTTTATACAAAACTTTCTGTGATTCGTAATGTACTAATCATATAAGGAACTAAGAGCTAGGTGACATAAAATTGATTCCTCAATATTTGAATTAAAAAATATGAACCGCAGTCTAAAACAAATCCAAATACTGATTATTTTACTTTTTTGTTTTGAACTAATCTCAAATGCTTTCAAAATGTCATTTCTATTAGTTCATTAGACATTTCTAACGCATTAACTCGTGGTAATTTCAAATAAAATACACAAATTATCTGACAGAATAGTTAAATTTACATTTACAAAATATTTGAACAATTTTATACTTACCTTCAAAAAAGGAGACATGATACTGACGAAACTTCACGTATGGTGTAAAAACATTAAAACACAAAATTTTAGATGATATATATAATTTTATAATTTATTACAGTTTATTAAAATACAATACTTATTTGTAATGGAGAATATTTAAAAAATTTTTTTTTTTAAACGAAATGCATAAATAATTATTAAATACTCCAGTAAGTTATTAAAAACATGTACGTGCCAAGAAAAATTCAGTACAACGCATTTGGACTTCAATTCATACAAATTACAGTCCCTTAAAATTTTATTTTATAATAATAACATTAGTAAGGATTTGCTTTGAGCAACTCTTTAAACATTTTTGATATTGCCAGAGATGCAATCAGAAATTTGGCGCCCGGTTGCTAATGTGTTGCTGCCCTCCACAACATTTTTTTCCTCTGCATCACTAAACACCAAAATATTGATGAGCAAAAAAAGGTTATAAAAAAAAAAAAATGTTTATGAGCGACTGGAAAAATTCAAACATTGCTATGTAAAAACATAAAAAAATGTCGCCCGAGCACGATCACACCCTCTACCCCGTCCCAACCCAACCCAACACGTCTCTGAGTATTGCTTAACGTGAGGGTGGCTTGACCTTTTACAAAAAATAAGTACTTTTATAAGCAATTTAGGCGTTATAACAAAAAATCAGTCCTTGACCTCACGTGATTTAACAAAACGACCTAATTACAATTATTAAGCGTATTATTTGAACTGTACCTCGAGGAAATGGTCATTTGAACAGTAACGAGCAATTCCAATATAAAAAGAACTATGACATTCTCATTAATAGATCTATTAAATCAGTTGTGGCAACTCTAATTTTTTAAAATTCTATTATAGCTGACCCTTTTTTTAAATTGTTAAACTACTCGACCTATTTTATTAACTTACAGTTAAATGTTAAAGTGGTTATAATGCAATTTTACTATAGTCTGGTAAACCGGTCACAAAATTATTACCATTAACATAATATCGTTTTAATTATTGACAATTTTATTTTAAAATAAACGTTAATATTAAATGGTTCAAACCGAAGCGTGTATTTTTTATAATACAACGCGGCTCAGCGTACATTTATTGTAATTTTATAGTGACCTCGACAGACGAACGAAGGCTGCTGCAGTGAAAAGTGGGTGTTTTAGTGCGTACGAAATCTCAATAGTTTAGGATTTTATAATGACTGTTATTAAATCATTATACACTTGAAACAATTTGGAATAAAACGTTTATTTTTGTTACCAAAATGCATCATGTGTAGTATTGAATTAATAAGGTCGATCAACACTGCCGACGTGGTGGACGGGGGGAGGGTACCAGTATGTAATAAATCGTACACACGCGTGCATACAACGTTCAAATGTACTATCTATTGGGACCCGAATCTTGACGGAGCGCGTGCCAACTACACAATATTTCGGATGGACGGCGTAGTACTCTTGCACGTGTGCGGCTACTATTGTTGGACGAGGCCCCAAAAATATTGTGGCGCGTGTAAAAAAGTGTCCCGAGAAACCGCGCGCGCCGATAGCGTCCGAGAAGATTGATTAGGAAAATTATTTGCCAACTCATTTGTACGGTGGCGCAAATTGAATGCGTAATAAACGAGTTACATCACGACAGCGCTTATCATCCGAGTAAAGATTTTTTTTTTAATATGTATCATCGAAATAATTCATTTTTTCTTCAACGCAATGACTTCTAGCGGCAACATTACTTTTAACTATTGAGATGAACTGTTTAACGTCAGACTTGTCACGACACCAACTAAAATAATTGATTTTAATGTCGTTTTACTTTATACTGAGCGTCACGGGTGAAATTATTTCTATTGTAATATCAGTAATAATGAGGTAATATAAAGAAATATATTATTATGTTAAATTGATTATTAAATGTTCTTATAGTTGAATACTTTGGTTACAAATGCATACAGAAGTGAACAATAAGGTCTCAATACATCCAAACATTGTGATGGAAAATACTACGACTATTTTTTATTGAATTTTTAGTTATCCCCGTTTTTTGATACATAAAATCGTAATTTTTTATAAGAACTTTTCTCATTTTTTTTGTATTCACGGCTAGAAAAAATGAAGAAATTTTCATTAAAGGATTTTAATTTAAATATTTAATCATTTTGTTGTTACGTTGAATAATCGCAAGCTAAAAATTGTAAAAACAAAATAAAAAAGTATTATATACAACCAGTGGCGTAGCCAAGGGGGACAGGGGACCCTACAATATTAATTTCTAAAATGAAATGACTAGGGAAAAAATCCAAAAACGATTCAAAATATAGAATTTTGTAGATTTTTTACTATGGGCCGTCGTCATTGTGAAATTCTGGACAAGCCACTGATACATGTCGTATATACTTAATTTGTTTGCTTTTAGATAGCTACAAGCAATTATAAAACCAATACACATGACATCTTAAAATAGTCTATTCGTACGTGATCGCTATTTGTTTGCTAATCGTTTTTACTAATTTTGGCGCATTGAAATTCGTATACATAAAAATCACTATCGTATGATCCAATCGCTCGTCCTGCTATTGTGTCTACTGATTTTTTATCAAATTTAGACACCGCAGTGTTTACGATATGTCGCTATCGACCGCAGTTATTCCAAAAAACCCTCGTATAATGGACCAAACATTTTTTTTAATCGCGTCATAGTACATAATATTTAAATTCGACAAATTTACATAGTGAAACAATAAATTTATACATTTTACAATCCGCATCGAAAAAGGTGACGAGGGTCAAGGGTGCATTGTTATGAATGTTTGAAATACGAATACATTTTAACAATATTAAATTTGTCTGGTATGAAAAAATTTCTTGTAAATTATTCGTTGCATTTGAATAAAATGCACGAAAGTCATTATTCCGTGTACCATAATACAATTAATATAATGACGTAATCGATTTGTTTGTAATGGGGAAAATCGAGAATGTGTGAAAATACAACAGTTTACTCTATTAGTCAACTTCTAAATCGAACTTTCTTCGCACAGCAGAGTTGAATATTATTCGTTATAAACAATGGGGCAAATAATAATTAATGCAATTATTTTCAATCGAATATTTTGTTTGCTATGAAAAGCTTAACGATTCGACACAGCCGATACCCACTAAATGTGTGGAATCGATACTATTTTTCACGGTTTCCGAACATGATTCATTCGACGCTGTAGTGAGAATTTTTATGTATTTTACACAAGTGTCTGCCCATGGCCGTCTATCGCAGCAGGTACATCTCGTGATACAAGTTTACTACAATAGCAGTTGGTCAAAAAATACTCTCGTGGTGTGATGCGTGTAAATCATATAACTTCTCAAAAGTGTGGAAGCGCAGACGTTTTCGTGCAAGTTCTACCGAATCACGAACCATCAGACTAATTATTCTCAATGTGCAATTATACCTAATGACCTTGATTCATTATTTTTATACTATTTCGATATCGCTACATCGAAATTAGTAATAATTTATTAAAAATGTTATGTATTCCGTATCGACTTGTCTGCCATAAACTGTATAAATAGCACATAAATACATTTTAATTTAATCTATTGATACGGTATTATATTTTTCGATTGCGTTTTTTATGCGCTATCTACACATAACACATCAGATCTGCGTGATAATTTTCTCGGAATCAGAAAACAAACACATATTTCAAAGACGACTTTTTTTTTTTCAACATTATTTCATTTCACAATAATAATATTAATTGTTACCAATACTATGTTTTAGCCGAGTGCAAACATTTTGTGTCATACTCTGGGAACAATGTCAACTGTGGTAACATCGTATTGATTACACCGATACATCTCATTATATTAGTATAAATTATATGCATAACATTATAGACGGAACTATTGAGAAATGAATGTATGTCAGCCGTTACACATTATATCACTGTAACGTTGTGTAATAATTCATTGAAATCATCTCGTGTCAACTAAACAGATTATTTTTAACCACGTAAATAACTGGTCTATAACACCTTTTGATCTATTATTTCGGAAGTTATTAACATTTCATACCTAGTCGGGAAGGGCAGTGAGCCCGAGAAATATCTAGTGATAACATTTTTGCTATCCATCGGTCATTTTCTTAATAAGATCAAAATTTGGACCGATCTTTCTACAGGCAAGATACGAGTGCTGCTATTTTTATCACCAGATATTTTTCGGCCTCGCTACACTTTCCGTCTAGATATAAAAATGTTAATCGTTTAAGAAATAGTAGACCAAAAGTTGTTATCGACCAGTAATTTTCCTAATTATATTTCATAAGCTATTTATATATGTATGTTTTCATTTAAAAAAAAATCATGCCCCTATAAGACATAAGGGATGAATGTACAAAAAATTTTTCTATAACACATAAATGAAAATACATTTGTAACTAACAAAAAATCATTATTTTAAGAATATTGAGTAGCTAGAGATAAAAGAATGATCCTGGACAGCTACGCCGTTAAAATATTATATAAATATGCTACAAATATTTGTAAATTTTTGTAAAAATATAGCAACTATAAAAACAAAACGTTAATAGTTATTATTTATGGTGCGTTGTGACAAGATGGTCACACAAGTATGATGTTGAATACAATAGAAGCGTCCCAGTTATGAAATTCATAAAATACATAGAACGAAACAAAAATAAATTTTCGCTTAATCCTATGTCAAAAATAATTTACCGAGGGATAAAGGCAACATTGTTAATCGTTTAACCCACAATGAATATTAAACATACATGTCAGCTCAAAGTAGATTTGTGCAGTTTTTTTGCAGCTTACATAGTAAAAATTAAATTTTTTTTAATAACTAGGCAATTTTTTTCTTTGACGAGTAATGCGTGACAGATTAAGACTTTTGCTGACATGCTTGTTGATTGAGTCTTGGTTTAATAATTATTTTTTGTTACTTATTTAAAATTGTTGGTCATTATCATATTTACGGTAATTGCTATCTGGTAATTGGGTGGTATAATTCTAAAAATGTCGTTAAATAGTATGGACTACCGAGTTATCTTTATAAATTCAACAATTATAAGCTTATGACTATTTTGAACCGTCCTTTAGCTAATGAAAGACCAAGGGAACTTGCCATGAAAGTATTACTTTCTCTAAATGACATATTCTCAATGCCATCCTTTAGCCAATACATTACATATAGGCTAATTATTATTCAACTCAATGCAAACGACCAATAACAGGTGCTAGTAAAAAGCTTACATTGGTAATTCTATCGTCATACTTTTTAAATCCTACTAATATTCTATTAAAAAAAAAAATGAATTAAGTTGAACCCATAAAATTGTAATTTATAACTCGTGGACAACTATTTAAAATTAAATCGAATCAACTCAAAAAGCGCTTGAAAAAATCAGCGGATACACTTATTTCGAAAACGATTTTGATCACCGGCGCTAAACAAACAATATCCGTTTTCAAAATACTCGTATTCGCTGATATTTTTTCTAGTGATTTTTATGGCGTTTCAATAATTTTATTTATTTTTAATAAGATTCTGTAAAAATGTTATTACAGGTAACTCTTTAATTTTCCAACAAATACATGATTTCACGTGGAACTCCAGCTGAATTCACAATGTACATCTTTGCTTTATCAACCCCTATATTATTATCATTCAATAGTAAGTCATCCAGTGAAATACGTTTGAATTCAAATTGGAACGCACAAGAGGTGTGGTAGTTGAAATCACCGCAATAAGACGAATGGGAAATTTATTTCCTATTAATCCATTGGAACGTTAACCGACATGATTCGAATTTAAAAAGCCTTCACCTTTCGACTCTCTTCTGCTCTGTTCCATTGCTAAAAATGTGTAGTAAATATATTAACACATAATATAATAACGTGTGAGGCAACGACGTGATGTAAAATTGTATTAATAATAATTGTAGTATTATTATTACAACAAAACTTATTTATTAGTGAAAAGAATCAAACTGCACACATAAGCATTTTATTTTGTATTGTTAAGAATTATAACAGTGTCGTAAATTGTCTACGTTTGTGAAAACTGATATATTGATTTTTTTTTTTAAACGTTCTACGTGAATATGGTCCAAACAAAATAGATGTGTCACTTGCATTTCAAATTACAAACATATTTTTGCACTAAATTTTCATATATTTTTTTTTGACATTTTATTTATAAAATTTAACGATAATAAATGTCAATAGCTCGTAAACGATTAAAATATTTATGGTAAAACACAATGTTTGTAAATCAAACTGATTGTGAACTAAAACATTTGTTTGATGAAATTATAAGACTTTTTATAATTTTCTGTACTTTAGAATCTCTAGTGTAGAAATTTAGCATAGATAATTTATACGGAGTACCGAACATACACTAGTGTGTTCATCAAATCTTGGTAGGTCACTAAAAAATGACGATTTAAAATAACACGTTTCCGTTAAAAACGAAAAAATGACAATGTGATAGCACGTACGGCGGATTGTCGTTGATCAGTAGCGCACATTGAGCTGTGATGTGTTCCTTGTTCGCCGGCGAAGCTTATCCGGTGACAAAAAAATTGAAAGTCCTAAATTAAGCCAAAACACGAATGCGATAATTAACAAGACATTGGCCGTGATAGCCGGTCGCCAAGTTGCTGTAATGATTCAGAACACTAATAGATAATGCGTGGTAACAATTGAGTAGGCGTTTTTTGCAAAAACAATAACAACCGTTATAATTTGTGAGAATCTTAAGCGGCCAACAATTATGTGCTTTCGGCCTTACCGGTATCGTGTTCGCGGCGATGTGATAACTGATTACACCAATGCCGTTGAAAAGAGCGACGACCTTATGGGATTTTCGCGCCAAGAGTCTTGACTTTCGACCGTCCGTCAACTGCGGTTCAACGGCTCTCCGGGTCCTCGACCTCACCCCGTCCATACGCACACGTGTTATTTTTCATTTTCCGTCCACATTCGACTTTGGTTAGGACTAGTTAACGCCAAAAATAAAAATTTCCAAAAGCAAACTCTTCACGGTTCACGCGTGTAAAACAGAGTGTAGTGCGTAGAACATATTCATACGAAATGCCATAACGTGAAGTAGGCACACCGATTGCTGACACACAACAAACAGCCCAATATCGATGACATTTTCGGTTGACATTTGTGTGACGCACGCACGTTTACGAATGTTGACGAACGAAAATACATGTTCAGCATTTCATTACATACTCAGACGAACAGTAACCCTCGATACCAATGGGGGTCGGATTAATGATAAATTTCGTTCGGCAAAGGTCCTGCTGTTGCGCCAAGATGCGATTCAATTACAGACCGAGTGATTCATTAATTAACGTTGTATTGTGCTTTACCGAAAAAAACCTTTAAACATTATTTATTTGACAATTACGGTTTTGGGGGGATCTATTGCCCATCACCGAACAGTAAATAATCGATGTTCAGGTGTTTTGCGATGGTTGTAAATCAATTAAAACCGAAAAATAATTACTTTTTATAATTTATTAATTGGCGGCACTCGTGAGATGGTACGACTGAATAATACATCACATTTAAATCATTGCCATCAATTCTCTATAGAGTTTATTTAGTCCAAAAAACAATTCGTTATTATTATTTTGGTGTCAAATTGATATCGCCGAGTTTATGACAAACGGAACTGTTCAAAGAGTGCAGCCGTTGTAAACACATGCAAATTCGGAATTTCGCATTGACGTAAAGGGGTCTCCACTGACCTAGAAACACAATAAACATTTTTAGAACGATTAATGGCGTTTCACTATTTTTGAAAACGTATTGGCGTGGGTCTCGACAACAACTTCAAAATGAAGTGAATTCCGTTCTTTCTCAGGCGTAGGAGTCGTATAAAGACTGTAATACTTGACAGAATAAAAATAATACGATTATTTATGTACAAAGTGATGACTTTATGAAAAGTTTGTGTGTATACAATTTATAAATAAAGTCAATTGTCTAGTCAAGGCTAAAATTTATTATTAAAAAAAAAAAAACAATAATTCTGCCTTTCGCAGAACAAATCAATTGGATCCCTTGAAGTATAAAATATTAAGTGGTTTGCTAAAATTGATAATTTTACTTTTGTGTAGTGCTGTAATAAAAAAAAAAAACACTAACCTATAAACTAAATAAGTTTTGTACCTGGTCATTGAGTATATATAATTAAACTTGTATAAATAATCGATTAACTGAATGCAAACACAAGCGAGTTATAAATGTGAGCCGCCTTTTCAATGCATTTGTGTTGTTGATATAAAAAATTATAGCAGCAGACGAACCGACACCAGTTCATTAGGTTTTTCTCTGCTATATATCCGCTTCGACATGACATGCAGGTGATGGTAATGTTAGCCGTTAGGTCTTGACAGGACATATGGCGAGCACTAAGTTACAACCGGTAACGGTAAAATTTAATTTGGGAAAACGTAAATTAAAATTGCTTTATAGCTTTTTTTTTTTCAATTGCACATTTTAATTGAAATAATAATCAAAAATAATTGTCACCTTTGGCAACGTCTCTCAATGTACAGTGGGCACTGATAAATAGATAATAAAATTAAGTTTAAAACTGACTTTTAGTTGATAAAGTGTGAAAGTGTGCTGTTGAAATGGATATAATTTGCATTTTATATTATAGGAAAATATTGTTGGCTTCGGACCAAGAAATGTACATACGGGTAAAGAGCGCAAATTATCCATTAAAATAATTATTGGTCACATAAACAACAAAAACGGTATTATACGGTTATTAAACAATCATAACGCCGAGTTTAAGTTTAGGTGAGATGTAAATTCAATGTTTCATTCTGTTTTATGTTTGAAGTATAAAAATCATTGGCCAATATTTACACATTTTATACAAAATATTAATAATTATAAATATAACGTATAAAGTACAGTAAAAACAGTGAGGAAAGTACGAATTTCTAAATAAAAAAAAAAAACATAAAATTAGCCGATGAAAATAATATATTAACAGACATTTTTTTTTTTAGTCTATTATTTTCAACAGCATTAAGTAGAGCTACTTTTAATATCAATACTGATACTGAGAAATACCTAAACAGAATATATAATATCTGTTAGGAACATTTTAAATATTTTTAGCTCACCAGCATATTTTCCTTGACTTTGATTGCAGTTTAAAATCGTTACAATTATGTCCGTAAATTCTCAGTAACTCGATTTGTTTTTTCTTGTTCCTTGAACTTCGAGTTGTCGATACTGCACTTCATCATGTTAACTAGAGTCATTTAGAAGGTTAAACAGGTTTTTAATTAATTTGTTTTGTAAATAGTAAAAGTATCACTGTTTCTCAAACCGCCAGTTGCAAAATGTATGTAGCACACGTGCTCATTTAAAATTATATAATTTATTATTATCTCTTATTATTATGTCGACTTGCAATATTTTCTTTAGGTTACTTAAAAAATGGATAAAATTACATTCAGAGGTCGTACAAATCAGATTGACCTCTCCGATCAAAACACTAAGAAACACAAACAAACATCCATACTGTTATTGTGCATAATATTACTATAAAGAGTACGCAATTTAGTTTTTTAGGATACGACCTGCCCGATCAATGAGCTTAGGCGACTGTTATCAGGTATTTTTAATTTTGCTCGTCCGTTTAACTTATTAGATGGCCGTCACAGCAACTACCCACGTGATCTACACCACTTCAACATTTTTGAGTTACAACGAGTGTATTTAATCATGTAACGAACAAATAAAAAACAACCACATTGGTGTACAACAAACAATGTTAAACTTAACACAGACTGTTGCGAGTGTCGTGTGAATTTGCATAAAATATTGAATAGACGCAAACGGGCTAGTGGAGGAAACTTGTAAAAAATATATTAATATGCACGTGTAGGCTGTATATATTTTTTTGGTAGTACAGAGAAAATGTCGTTGAACGTGGGCGGTAAACGGTGCGTACATTGAGAGCTTCAGGATGGGTCGCTCACTGGGGAGATGACATCCATCAACCTAACGGTTAAAATATTAATGAGATCGTTGTACTTTTTTTACTATGACCGACTTGTTAATTTTTTTGTTTACGCCACTCTGAGGATCTCTTCATAAAACCTCTACGGTTTTGCGGTATCTTAAAAAGTGCAGGTCAAAATGTGCCAGCACAGGCTCCTCGTATAGCGTATTTAGTAAAACGAGTAGAGCAGTTCATTCTTGAATAGACGAAATATTATTTTTAAAACGCACAAAAATGTCCGCACCGACCTTTAGAACAATAATAGTATTATATTGGTCGCACTACAGTGGCGCAGCGCTGTTAACGACCTTGACTCGTCCAAAGACGTGTAATTTTCCAAGAAAATTCTTTTGGACTCTATTTTTGAAGATGACCACGCGACGCTCAATGTCATGTGTGTCGCCCGGCTTTTTACGCATTCTTATGTAAACTATAACGAAACGATCAAACGTCGCCGAAGGACGTGCTGCACATTTCTAGTTTGACGCGCGATTATTGTTTTTTTTTTTTACTTGGTTATCATCGATCGGCGGTTAATTGCGGAAATCTCACTATTGTTGTTGTCAATGACGTACGCAACGAGTTTATTTTATTTCCAAAAATACTTTGACCGTCTAAATTTATTACCAGTGTTTTATTTTATTAATTAGACAGCCGGTGCGTGGCTGTTTGAAAGCTGCGTCCAAGGTCGACATTGAAAAACGTGGCATTATTTTACCATGGAACGCCCAAAATAACCGTTTAAGACATTAAAAGGATCAAATAAGAGGAATAGACCGAAGTCGTATTTGCGTATGACGTGTCCGCCGAACGACAACCGTTTTTGTGTAAACTTACGAGCTTATGTGTATATAACCACTGCTCGTAGCGACGTTCATTCTGCTAATAACACCAACAAAAACAATAATAATAATTAAACTCAAATTTAATAGCTTTCTTTATCTGTGTAAAATGCCGTTATGGCGGTATTAAAGATAAATTGAAAACAATTTGATGATTTTATTTTTATTAAATTGAATAGCCTTCGTCGAAGCATAGATAACCGATTACCACCGCGTGATAAAGAAGTATTGAATCGACAAAATAACAATACTTGCGTGTTGTATTTGCCGAGCAAAACGCATAAGGCACGTTGCACAAAATTTATAATTAAGCACTACGGGTAATTAAATTAACACGTGGATAACTTGTTTTCAGCCAATAAAACGTCTCGAGTATATTGCGATTTGTCAGAAGTAAACATAATATTATTGTTGATTTATCGCCTTGTAGTCTGCAACACGTTTTTACATCCCTATAAAACCACCGTCGGTTAATAACGTTTTGGATTATTTTTTTTGTACGTGCACCAGCAGTAAATTATCAGAGAGAAAAAGACCAAAAAAAAAAAAACCTGAGCTCCGCTCCGTCGGTTTAGAATAATCTCGATATCGTTTTAATGTCATGTGAAGCTACTGTGCATAAATTATTGATTGCGCAATAGTCACTAACTGGGTCATTGAACGTTTTCGACATCACTCGGTCATTGGTGTTCTTTACCCTGATAACACAATCGCAACTATTAACTTAAATTTTGTTGTTGTTCGAGTCTTTATCATTAAGTAATGAGAGGAGGTCCAATTAAGATTTCTGTAAGAGCAAGTAATCGGTTTACAGAGTGTTCATTTAAAACGTGAGAAATCATTACTGACGTTTGCACACAACTCTGACGGAATACTAATTTCAAGAGTCTTTTTTTTGTTCTCGACTAAAATTTACTATTTTAATCAAAGCACCACAACTCGTTAACAGACGTTGTCTCATCTCTAGACCGTTTTTGATTGTCTACGGTTAATGCTTTAAAAATTCCACTATGGCATATAAACACGACTGTACAATGAAATTTATTTACATACTACAATAATTTTATTGGAAGTGACTGGAGCTGATGTAAAAAAAAAAAAAGGTCAACGGTACCGTCAGCACTGCCGGGCGCCGTGAAGTTCCATGTCGTCGTTTCTTTTTTATTTTAGGCACGCGTTTGTTTTGACTACAATCGATACTCGTGTTTTACGAGTACCGAGAAATTGGACTACCAAAAATTGCCAGGAAAAAAAAACTAGTTTATTTTTAAAATAACGTTTGACAACTTTGACAAATAGTTTTATTGTAACGATAGTGTCGTTACCGAGAAAGTCGTCTGGCTGTGTCGTGAGGGGGTCAAAAATTATCATATAAGCTCACCGGCCACCAGATGATTCGGTCCGGCGCGCAGGCAGACACATAATAATAAATTATCATCGTCCATATTATTATTATTATCGTAGTGTATTTTCGACGCATTAAATCGCTATGCGTATAAAAATGTTTTTAATAGAAAATTCATGTTGCTTTTTATTTTCTGTCTATTTGCAGATTATATGTTTAATAATCAAACAACATTACTGATGATTAGGTATGGGCGACAGTCGCACACAAAATCAGCGCGTTTATTAAATCGTCTCTATTCTCTAGTATAACTGTAATTGAAACTATCAGTTTTATTATTTGGATTTATTAATAGTCATAGCTCGTTACGTTCGCAAATTTTGTAAAAAGAAAAACAGGTGAATTCATTACAACCGATGAGTTCATTAGAATAAACAATTCGAACAAAATGCCTATTAAAATAATTTTTCTCGAGAAGCGACCGGCAACGTTGTTTGCAGACTACCGTCTGTTGGAGGGCAACAACCCCACGTATGAACGTATGACGGGCACAAAAATTGGCTAAAAATTAATTTTCCACCTTATTAAACTCAATCAGTCCACCTAGCTAAAAAAGAAGCGCATGATATAGAAAATGACGTGTAAAAAAGCGTGAGTAGAGACCACAAGGACGCCATAAATATGTCATAGTACATAAGTTATTGCGTCGAAATTTAAATATTAATTTAATATTTTTGTGGTACAAATGTATTTATCATATTTGTACGACGAAAACGATCGATGTAAGAAATATTTTCTTGGCGGTAGACTTGTTGAAACGCGAAAAAAGTTGATTGTGATAAATGATTCCATTATTGTACAATTACAAAAATAAAAACCAAGTTATTATTGTTTTTTAATGATTCTCGGGTTTGTACTTGAAAATACATTTTCCCTGTTCTGGTAGTTCAAAGAAAAACGTTAGTTTATTTCTCGGAGATAATTTCTGTTAATCATAAGCTGTTCGTTGACTTTCATAGTTCCTAAAGCGAAGACATTTTATGTTTTTAGCTCTAATGCGGTGCTCGTGTGGTATTTTTATTTGTTTTTTTTTTTTTAAGTTGTGATCCAGAGATTTTCTCAGAGCTTGTAAATCAGGCGCTGGGAAACTAGTTTATAATAAATGCAAATAAACAAACGGCTCGCAGTCGGCAGATCGGAGTGCACATCTTGGCGGCGGATTAATATATACGGACATACCCTTATTATTATTATTATTATTATTATTATTGTTACGCGCGTGCAAGTGACCGATCGGCACGGGGTGAAGGTCTTTGCACACGAGTAAAATCTTGTCTCGACCATCACGTACATGTGCACATAAATCAAAATGCGACAGTGCGCCCGACTTATTCATTCTATTGTCTGAATAATATATAGTGGTAAAAAAAGTAATAGTATACGGTGACTGCACCGGCGCCCGCTGCACACTCCTCGCCTTTTGCAATGCGTTGTACGCGTCTTAGTCGGTGCAATTATCTTACACTGTAGAGACAATTGACTGATTTCAGAGTTTTACCTACAAAGCAAAATAAATCACAAAAATGTCAATAATATTACGGGGGTCATTATTCACTGGAAGTTTTCTTATCGCGTTGAAATTCGGAGCTCATCTCATTTAGCCGCTAATTTTAACACATTGAACCGTCTGCATATTCACCCAATATGGTTTCGTCTATAGACAATAAATCTATGCGTATCAACAGCAAATAGTATTATTTTTATGTTGTTATCATCGGTATCAGTATTATTTCGTTTTCTCGTTGTAAAAGTGAAAAAAAATAACGCTGGAACGCGATAAGACATAACGAGGAAGGCACTGATATACACTACAAGATTAATTTAAAAGGTGACGTTCTCTCACTCGCATTGTTACAGAAAATTCATTAGTTTTTGATCTCACGGAATTTTTTCGTTAACTGACAATCAGTTTCTCTTAGAATTCCCTTTTGGTTATGTAAAATTGTTACACAAACAAATATTTACAAACAAGTTACAATATTTACTGTGAAAAATAATAATGTTATCAATATGACGAGCGGTCCACAGACAGTACTCGCAAGCTGACATAATTACAGCGTTATCTTACGATAAAAGCAATCACTTACTTGGAATTAAAATGCAACGAGTTATTAAAAAAAAACAAATAAAACACCAGATGACTTTTAAACAATGATAAATACAGCAGCGTTGCTTTTAAAACTGTGCATCGGCAACTCCAGTTTATGTATTAGTGTATAGTTAGTAATGACCGCCGAATGAAAAAAACGACATTCAAAGACCTTGGAGACGTTACAAAGCATCTATTTTATTTTGTTCTATACGCGTTCCATCAATTTATCAATTACCGCCACGACTCCTTTTTCCACTCGCCAAACGTGGTCTTGGTCCGATGCGCGTAACACAGTAGTGTGTACAAGTTGAATTCAGTGTACATAATGACATTAATTCATACGCCAGCAGCCGCCGTTGTCAGATTTTTTACCATAGGCTCTTTGACGTTACATTCGAAGTGTAACAATATTTTTTATTTACCATTTGAACCCTCGACCTTCGTAAATCTATGCCGACTCTTAGATGTCATTTGGAATTCGCCGAGGTATTTTATAAAGCGTACACACAGTCGTAGGATGTGATGTCTGTGTAGAAAACACAAGTCAAATCATGCAGAAATCGACTCATGTCAAGGACACAAAGTTATAGTGCAGTGACGGACAATTTGACCGACAACGACGGCGGCCTTTATCGAAATGTCGAGTAGACGTTATGTCAACAACAGTTAAAAAACTATTTTCCGTTTCGAAACACTTAAATTACCATCACACATTCTAAACTTCATATTCGTTGACCATAACCGTTTTAATTAAGCTCGTTTTTTTTTTCTTATTGAAATTACAACTGCAGGTCATACAGGGCTCCGGTGTTTATTCATTTCGCATTGTTTTTTTTTTTTTAGAGTGAGAGGAAAACAGTGAAAAATAGGAGGGGTAGAGGGTTCAAGGACGACAATTGTTTCAGATGACAAATTGTAACCCACTCTCCTTGCCCAATTTTTAATTGTATTGCTTTTGCCCTTACATCTCATCGACACGACTACAACATAATTCAATTTTTGTCATTACGTCATTTAAAACTTTCAAGTTCCAACTGTGCTCGAGTATCAATTAAGTACTTTAAATACAATCCAGTACTTGTTAAGAATCATTTAATTATTACAATTTGTATAAATAAATTAACGTTGAATACGGACTAAATAATTACAAGACATTAAACTTTGACCTTCGTTTAACCCTTTTGTAAAAATACTCATCTTAAAAATGCAATAATTAAAACTGAGTAAAAAATTATTTAAATCAATTTTTACAAGGAGCGTGGCCGTATTTTGTTTAAAACCCAAACCTGATGTATCTTGTTTTTCTATATAA